CAACCACCGATTGCCTCGACGAGCTATGTTTTGTGGTGTAGGAGTAGGTTGGAAGAAAGCTAGGGGCGGCCAAACCAAAACATGACAGAAATCCATGAATTTATTGACAAGCGGACTGAGTCATGTTGGTAGATGTAGGCTACCTGGTCGGAGTCTGCAAGACAATAGTAGTGAATGGATAGAGACTTTAAATGACATTCCTTAAAATCGTTTGCAGTGATGCAGGGGAATCCATTCTTTGTGTTCTCTCAAATTCTAATCTTTTGAATTCTTCATGAACGTCTTTTTCTCCTTTCTTTTAAATTTATTTTACTAGATTATACTCCTTAAATAAGATCTTAAAACCCTAATATTTCCGCTTACTGCCTATACTTCTGCTACCTCTACCACCATGGGATTTTAATTGACAATTGCATCTGTGCTAATGTTGTATGGTAACTTGAACTGAAGCATGTGCGTACGGAGTTCTACGTTGTATCTGACTGACTGTTGCGACAGGATAGTTCACAACAAAACCCACTTTATACTACCACTAAACAGTACAGTATAAGTAGCTGAATCAGATCAAAAATCGTTTTCCTGATACCATTCGAAAAATTATCTGGTAAAGTGCATACCAGGTACTTATAATCCTGCAATTAAAAACTTTTTTCCTAGAATAAAACAACTGGCATCCCAATCCTTAAGAAGCGCTATAATCTGTTCAAGCTCTTTTAGGGTATAAATATACTTCCTATTACTTCCGAACTTTGATTTCCATGATGCTTCGAATTGTGTAAAACCCGCAAAAGACTGACCCGCAATGAATAGGTTGGTCTACTATCATGTCGTGGGCATATTTTTGATATCTCCACTTTCCCCTACATGTAAGACCACTGCTACATTTACTCCCTACCGAAGCTGCTACCTTGACGTGGTGGTCGGGCTTGCCTATCGTGATGACCCAGCCGAGGTATATTGGCTGGAACTTATGTTCCTGAAGGTTCTACCATGCCAGGCAGGTCGATCGGAGAGCGATGAGACAAAAGCAGATATTCAAGGTCTGAGGGCGAAGTCGTACTGGTGACTGCAGAGGGGTGTAACAGCGCTAAGGCGTTTCCCTCGGACAACCAGCATCTGCAGCGATGCTGCCTTCTCATAAGGAAGGAAGGGTTAGAAAAGGTCGACCCTAAAAATGTTACACCTCACCCTACCTCACGGATTTCCGTCTCCTTGGGTAAGGGTGCCTACTAAGGGCTTTCAAGTGCGGAGCTAACTCATAAAGCTTCTCATAAAAAGGCCTTGCGTGACCGGCCTCAAGCAGTTGTCCCTTGGACTCTGCGGTCACGCTCCCAGGTCTCTAAGACCAACACTAATCTATCTTCCTTTTCAGGTCCCTCAAGAAACAACCTTCTACGGTGTGGGCAACCGGGAAGCGACAACTGCCCTCATACTCGTAACAGCACACGAGACCAAACTGGTCAAAATTAAATCCTTCCTACATCCCCTAATACCTCTCTTATCTCCACGACTAACTCTTCTCACATTCATTTATCACAGTGCACAGCTAATGCAAACGATGCGAGTTCACGAAACGTTATTCCTGGTCTCTTGAAACCTCGTTCTAAACTACATGTTGGAGCATTTAATGTACGTACATTATGTCAAATAGGGAAACAGGCATCATTAGCTAGGACTTTAGAATATCGTGCCGTCTATGTATGCTGCGTCTCTGAAACGCACATACAGGGTCCGAGTAGCATCATTCACTTGACCTCACCATGTCAAGATAAGGAAGCAGCTCGATTCACCCTTCGTGTATCCGGTAGCCCTGGTGCTGCTTCCCGGGGTCTCGCTGATGTAGATATAGTATTGAGTCGTAGGGCAGAACAATCTCTCCTTGACTGGATCCCTGTAGACAGTCGCTTGTGCGCCGTCCGACTAAAAGGGCAGTAAGGATTCGAAAGGATAGGGACACTCGTCGTTGCCTCTTCGTCATATCAGCCTACGCCCCCACTGACTGCAGTCCAGACGATGTGAAAGACGAGTTTTACAGAAAGCTTTCGGACCTCCTCCAAAAATCTAGGCGCTCTGATATAGTTATAATGGCTGGTGACTTCAATGCTCAAGTAGGTAGACTAAGTGAAAATAAAAGACCTCTAGGTGGATGTTATGGTGTCGCGGCTCAGAGAACAGACAATGGCGACCATCTGTTGCAACTGTGCTCAGATAACCAACTATTTCTAGCAAACACTAATTTTAAGCATAAGGAAAAACATCTTCTGACCTGGCGACCCCCGAAGTCGTCTCAACGTTGGACGCAACTAGATCATATCGCCATCAGCCACCGATGAAGGGGTTCGATAGAGGACTGCCGCTCGTTGTAGGGCACATGTTTAGATTCAGATCATGCCCTAGTACGAGCTCGTGTTTGTTTGAGGCTTACTGGACGTAGAAAAGACACTGTAAGGAAGCCTCTTAGGGCTTAACTTGGTGATAATCAAGCTAAGAAAATATTTCAGGAGGAACTAGAAAAACAGTTAGGCGACCATGCAAGTGATTCCCATCCGGAGGCAAGTTAGAACGATATCAAGAAGGCCGTGGAAACAGCAGTGATATCTGCTAGCAAGGTAAACCGTAAGGCTAGGATGAAGCCATGGATTTCAGTCGCATCCACCGAACTGATGGATGCTCGAAAACGTATCCCACCTGACTCTGGACATGATGAAGAGCGTAGTCAGCTTAGGCGCAGACTCATAAAAAGCCTACGTAACGACCGTGAACAGTGGTGGGTGGCGAAAGCAAAAGCGATGGAAAAGGCAGCGGCGATAGGCAACACTAGACAACTTTTCCGCCTTATTAAAGAACCCGGTATTAGGAACCCGAATGTGAGTGAGACTATCTCGGAAAAGGATGGTCTTATTATCCATTCTCAAACCAGGAGATTGGACCGATGGGCAGAACACTTTAGGGATCAGTTCAACTAGCCTCGAGCCACACTTCGGTTGCCCACGATCCCCAGTCATCCTGAATGGCCAATCGATTTACGTCCTCCCAGCCTACATGAAGTTGAGAAAGCTATAGGAAATCCGAAGCGAAGTAGAGCAGCAGGTCCTGATAGGCTTGCCCCTGAGATGTTTAAGGATGGTGGTCCAGTTTTAACAGTTAGACTGACCGAGAGCTTAGTTAGAATCTAGGAACTGGACGTAATCCCATCTGACTGGTCTCAGTCGCTAATTGTCCCAATCTATAAGAAAGGACAAAAGTCCTCTTGTGACAATCACAGGGGAATCAGTTTAACTAATATAGTTTCTAAATTGTTAGCCTCCATTATACTTAGACGCCTCAGTAGAGCTCGTGAAGAGCAGACTCGAGAAAACCAGGTTGGTTTTCTACCTGAACGTGGTTGTATAGACCACATTTTCACACTATGACAGGTCCTGGAACACAGACACACATTTAGGCGTCCTACCATAGTTGTGTTCCTGGACCTAAAAGCGGCATTTGACTCAGTTGATCGTGAGGTTCTGTGGCAGTGTCTGTCATTGAAAGGCGTGATATCCGTTCGCTAACCAAAGGACGGGTGTACTGCGCAGTGTTTCGCTCCGTTCTCCTATATGGATGCGAAACATTGCCGTTAAGAGTAAAAGATGTTCGTAGGTTACTAGTTTTCGATCATCGATGTCTCCGAAGCATTGCTCGTGTATCATGGGACAACCGAGTAAGCAATGCTGTCGTTAGGAAACGAGTACTAGGTAAGGATGGCAGATCATTAGGTGAAGTGCTGAAACTTCATCAGTTGAGGTGGTTGGGACATGTGTTACGAATGCCTATCCACCGACTGCCTCGCCGAGCTATGTTTTGTGGTGTAGGAGTAGATTGGAAGAAAGCTAGGGTCGGCCAGACCAAAACATGGCAAAAATCCATGAAATCACTGACAAGTGGACTGAGTCATGTTGGTAGATGTAGACTACGTGGTTGTGGTCCGCGAGACGATAGTCACCAATGGTTAGAGACCTTGAACGACATGGCTCAAAATCGTTTGCGATGGCGCAAGTGCATCCATTCTTTGAGCTCTCTCAAATCATAATCTTCTGGATTCGTCAGCACATGTACCTTTGTCTTCCTAACCTTATGTCACTGAATTATACTTCTTGAATAATATCTTCAAACCCTAGTCTTCTTCATTACCAATAATATCTCTACTATCTTTATCACTATGGGATTGGATTTGACATTTGCGTCTTTGTGCTAATGTTGTATGGCAACATGAACTTATGTACATACGTACGAAGTTCTACGTTGCAACTGACTGACTGACACTTACTACAGGTTAACGATCGTTGTGCTTTTTAACAGCAGTCAACGTTACCATTTTTAAGCAATGACTTGGTGTCACAAACATTGTTTACAAGAATTATCCTTGTGGTTCCCACTTTATGCAATAATTGTCCACTCTGAAATTGGATGGAAAAGGTGGAGTGGTTAGTCTATGACTCGATACCGTGGTATGAAGAAAAGTTTTATAGGATGGGCATATGTTGGTCCATCACGACTCCTTGGCTTGAGTTCTGATGATGGTGCAACTCAGTGACTTAAACGCTAATGACAGGGCTCAAAACAGAAAACTATGATATTCTTGACCTAGTTTACTGTGAAATTCTCTTTAGAATGGAGAGAAACTTCGAATGAGTCTTTCTTAGTTGCATTTTCAATCGAACTTAACCTTCTCCTGTATATTAGTTATGTCCACTTATTCCTTTTTCAATTACACCCGTTTCCCCACTTATTTCTTCACAAGGTTATATACTTATTTTGTAGTTTATACTATTTTTGGTGTATTAAATAGAATCAAAATTAACCTCGTGTTCGATAGTCTATTTCGACTACTTTCACATACAACTCCTGTAAGATTTTCTCTGTCTAGTATGTAATACATTTTATATTAAAGATCAGAGGAATGCATCTTACTAATAACAATGTTTTATTTATTCAATAGGTAAACATTTATCGTCAGTTCAATGAGTTTGGCATCCATTGACAATATCATACGTGGGGCCCGCCTTCAAACACCGTCAAATGACTCGAGTTATCAAAATTTTGTGGATCGCTTGGTTTTACCGGGGATGGTTTTAGAATTATCTGAACCTTCTGATGGACCTGTGTCATGGTCTATTGGCCCAGGTCTTGTTTGCGTGCCAGTGTCTAGAATGAAAAATGGAGTGGGGAAAAAATTGGTGGATTCGATTTTAGTAAGACAGGTCAGTTTCATAGTTTTTAGTTTTAAGTACCTTTGTGAAGCTAGATTTTCGTCATTCGAATTGCTTCTACGACTGATAGTTATTTACATGAACATGTTAAATGGTTTAGTATGCTAGTCTTATCATTTGTTAACGAGTTTCTTATACCTTTATTTTTTAATTCCTTGATATGTGATTTGTTAGGGCCTAAAACTTGACACAGATAGCACTTGATATGAGTTAGTTTTCATATTCAGTTGTATTCAATAGTTTGCTTCCGTAATCAAAACTTTTATATTAATACTGGTTCTGTTCATTGTTATATAACTTTGTTAACGATTCAATCTCGAATATATTTAATTTCCTTAACAGTTCGGAATTTTAAAATTCAAATGTAAGATGTTAGAAAAGACAGACTCAACGAATACAGTCAAACGCTTTAAACTCGGGAATCCATCAAAAGATACGAAATCAGAGAATTTCATTTGGTTAGAATGCCTGGCATCTACTGGTTCAGTAACTACATTACTTCCACTTACTCGTCTCTCACACCGTTGTCATGTGGGACAATTCCAGTCAGAGGATAAGGTTATTGGCGTTGTAATGAAAAAGGCTGGTGAATCGTTTGTGGTAGATATAGGATGTGCTTCCCCAGCTATTCTCAATTATTTATCATTTGAAGGTTCTTCTAAAAAAAATCGTCCCGATATTCATGCAGGTGATGTTCTTTATGCTATGATTACGCGGGCCGACAGAGGTGAGTGCTTCATTGTACTTTTGTTTGTCCATCATATTATTTTCCCATTTTTCAGCATTAATGCATCTATCAGCAAACACTATTCTTAATGTTAGCCTTTTTCACCGAAATAAACCTAGTTTTTGGCGAATAGATGGATTATCAGTAAAAACAATAATCGGGATTGTTTATAAATCTTAGCTAACATTCGGTTATTTTAAATATAAATCTTCTATTCTAGTTGATTACTTTTATCTCATTCGCAAATTAACGTAGTCTTTATAACAATTTTTAAATCAAATGCTGAACTCTAATGTGTACTCGGTGATCTAATGAACTAGGTTATTGTTCATTCCAAATGCAACCGTAATTCGTAATTTATGTGAAGAACTTCTGGGTAAAAAAATTCAAACGAGTCACCATATCATAATGCTTCACTAGTCTATCGCATAATTATCCATTAGTACATTTAAAGAAAATAATCTCACATGAGTTGAATGCTTACAGTTTTATAGGCATTGAATATTAGTTTAATTATCTTTATCTAAAGCTTCAGTGTTTTATCTCCTTACTACAATTTATTCGTGAAAAACATTGATATTAGTTGAATGGTTACTAGTGTAGTGCATATTTTTGTAACCTACCAAATTGCAAAAATATTGTCAATTCTAAAAAAAATTTGTAATCCATCTGAACTTTTTCGCCCAGTTGATTAACTAGGTCAGTTTTTTTTCGTATACTACACAATATCGCTTTTTGTATTCCAATAGTTAACAACACTGATTATTGGTATAATAATTTTTGTGTTTTTGTTTAGATTTAGAAATTGAATTGTCATGTGTCGATGAAGCTGGGAAAGCTTGTGGAATGGGTATCCTTGGTCGTCATGAACCTGGTACTGTTGGGAATGCTGGAGGTCGTTCTGGTGGCATATTGTTACATTGTACGCAAGATTTGATCAGGCGGCTAGGCAATCAAGATGAATTCCCTTTACTAAAACTTTTATCTAAGGTACAAGTTCAATGTATATAATGATTTTTATTGATGGTTCTTGTGATTGATTATCTTATAAGCAAGTGATCACTATATTTGGTAATGCTAGTTTTCAGTTTGATTAAAGGTTGTATTCACATCGTTTTTTGTACTTCTTAGTACTGCCTATTTTTTTATGAACTGTTCTCTGTTTTCATATCCCTATTTATTTAAAAAATTGAAAGGGCTTATGTTTAGTGAACCGACTCACTGATGTATATGTGGCTGTTGTTTTTTTACTTTGCACTGATAGTTGATATTATGTTAAATAATACTGTACAATAATTTGTGCTTTACATCCGATATATGTTTATTTACCTCTATGAATTAATTGTTTTTGATTAATATGTCTTCTTTCTCTTATAATTTCCCTAGGTGTATCCTTTTGAAATATTCTTGGGTGCAAATGGACGTATATGGTTAACAGCTAATTCGGCTAGAGAAACAATGATATTAGCCAATACAATAGCCATTAGTGAACACATATCAGCTAGTGAATGCTGTCAGTTAGCTAAAGAACTTTGTTAGCTATTTTTACATTTCAGGAAATTGTACATATATTTGTTGATATTGTACATTTGTAAGCCTATTTTGTATTGAATAGATTAAAGTTTACCTTCTTTAAAACATTGTTCATTGAAAGATAACATGCAAAATTATTTGAAATCGTAATTCATATTAATTAAAATGGAATATTTCTCGGTTAAATGTACCTGGTGACTAGTTCAGTTTCATGAGTACTATAAGTACTTATAGATGGATACTGTTTAACTTAAAGACAATCATACCGTTTCATAAGTGAATGCAGATAGGCTATATCACCATCAGTTTACGTTGGAAAGAATAGACAGATGAGTGCCACTCCTTTTCTTGGGGTGAAGCGGGGCTGAATATTTGGATTCTAACCACGATCCCTTCTGGTCTTTCGCGCGTGTTCATTGTCGAAGACAGAAAGAGTACAACAAGATGACCTATTCAAAGATCGATGTCAGAAATGTTAGTGATGATTTGAAGCACTAATTCAAGTGCTTACGGCGTCTCTGTCCTGTATTAGCGTAGTATGATCTACGGTGACAATTGCAATTTCTATTTTTGCAGAAGTGGAAAATATCAGATTCACTATCAGTCTCTTAATTTCCTTAACATTTAAATCAAAGAATAGGTTGATCTTGATATGAATAAAAGGTTTCTATGATATTCATCAAATAACAGTAATCAAAGAATAGCTTCATTAACTTGAGTAATAGTTGCTGAATCAATACTACTTCTAGTTTTCATGTAACATCCCTGGAATTCCTGTTAATTTTATCTCAAGTATTATCACAGCTAACGACACTCATTCGTTCTGAACATCCTTATGTTTGTTCGCTTGAGATACGTGATATTCTAAGAATCTGAGTTATGAAAAATAGAATCCATTTTTAAGTTATAGACCAGTGTAGGAGAATAATAATGAGATATCATCAAGTTGTAACCCTTATTATGTTTCCTTTTCCGAATAGCCAGAATTTGTCTATTAAATTCAGTTTAAAGTGACTTATAATTATTATCACCCAGTTAACTTCGTTCATCAAGTCCTGTTTAATTGAAAACCGAAAATGGGTTATTAAAATAGTTCAACAAATAAAATTTCACCGGTATTTACTAAAGCCTCACTTTTAGTTAATTATTCTATGCAAGTCCATAATGAAAATAGTTACAGGATCATCTAAAATATGACTGAAGGTTTCCAAGTATCGAAAAATTGCATGATAGCCTAAACTGGAAACAGATTACAAATGAATGATAATTCGGAGAATTTAAACGATATGTGATTAAGTAAAGGAAAATATGTAATAGTTATTCAACCTAGAATCGATGTGTTCCAATTATTTTCATGATCAAGGCTACATGAGAGCTGGTATATGATATTTTGAAAAGTTTGGATCAATTTTCAAATCATAATTTGTTAAAGCATCAGTGCACAAATCTATGATCTGTATTCTCCTTGCGTCAATTTTTTCTGTCGTATAGATGGTTTGAAAATTGACACCTGAAGAGTTTGCATTACTGGAGTCGATTACTTTGGTCTTAAAAGTGTAGTTGTGATACAACCTTTCCATTTAAACAGTTACAATCTATATTTTACTTATTCAAATTTTCTTAGTATTCTGCAAGTGAACAATTATCTTACACCTGCAACCTATTTTCACTTTGTTCTATCATGTAATTTTTTATACTTGAAAAAAATTCCGATTACAATGATTGGTACAGTGTCTATCTATTTCTTTGTGGATGCGAGTTAGCTACAAATATGAATGTACAGTTATACTAAATGATATCATTCAAAAGAAAAAGCGCTTTGTTGAATTCCCTTGATTTCTTTCTCCATGTTATGAAGAATTTCGTTTTGCGCTTAGAAATGACTTATCAATTTTGTTTTTGTGTAACAGAACACTGATTATTGCTATTTACTAAAGTTATAATACTTAATAATTGATGAACAATTTGTTCGTTACATCATTTACCAGAGTTTTTTCTTGTAATACTATTTAGAATTTAGTTTTTTCGTGTGACTTATTATTTATTGAGATTGATTAATGAAGTCATGAGATACAGATTCATGCAGCTTACACATGCTTCACTCTTTTTGTCTGTCATTGAAATCCTAGTGAAATTAAAAAGCTTGAACTTAGTTTTATATCATTCGAAGACATGATTTAAAATTGTGAATTGTTCACGAAAACACTGTGACTGAATAGTTTTTTTTATCTTTTAAATGATTCACCTAATTTTAAAATTCTATCCATAGTTATATTCTGTCACTCAGTAAGCTTTAGTTTATTTATTTATCTGTTATAATAAAAAGGCCATTTAGTATCTTTTAGTGAAGGTAATGGCTTCATCAATTTAACCGGACTATTTTGGTATACATTAAATGTATATTGATAAATAATAAGTCAATACAGTAGAGTATACAGTGAGTTACAACTTCACATCTGTTTGACTAATTGAATTATTGTATGTAAGCAATTTAAAACAATTTTCCAATTGAATGGACATTTAAACAGATTTATTCAATTCTATTCTATGATAAATAGATCGTAATTTAGCCCACTTTATTCCTATGCAACAAACATATTAACGATATTAACAATAAGTGGTTTCGAAAGAAAAAAGAAGTGACTAATAGGTTGTAGATAATTTTATTAAATAGTAGATTTAATTTGCATTTATTCGCCAACAAAATTACTGAAATGTTTACTTAGTTTTTAATAATGAAATGCAAGCTAAAAAACGATCATATAGTAGCGTTTATGTCGTGTCTCTTTTTTCCACCGGTACTGTTACTACATATATTCCAGTTTCTACATTGCACACGACTGACTGATGACTTTTAATAAAAATTTCGAATACATACCATTCATTAATCTATTAAAGTACCTTAAGAAACTCAGAATAGTACTCACTACTATAAATTAATTAGAAAATACGTTGAGTAATGAGACTATTTAAATTTTTTTACTTACTTACTTACGCCTGTTACCCCCAATGGAGCATAGGCCGCCCACCAGTTTTCTCCAACCAACTCTGTCCTGGGCTTCCCTCTCCAGTTCTGTCCAATGTTTGTTCATTCCTCTCATATCTTTCTCTATTTCTCGGCGTAATGTGTTCCACGGCCTTCCTCTTTTCCTTTTGCCTTGAGGGTTCCATGTGAGGGCTTGTCTCGTGACGCAGTTATGTGCTTTTCGTAGTGTGTGTCCTATCCACTTCCACCGCTTCTTCCTGATTTCCTCCTCCACTGGAATCTGACTCGTTCTCTCCCACAGTTCGTTGTTGCTGATGGTGTCTGGCCAACGAATACGAAGTATTTTGCGTAGACAGCTGTTAATAAACACTTGTATCTTCTGAATGATGGCTTTGGTAGTTCTCCATGTTTCCGCTCCATACAGTAGAACTGTCTTGACATTTGTATTGAAAATCCTTATTTTGGTTTTGTTTGAAAGTTGTTTGGAGTTCCAGATATTTTTCAACTGTAGAAATGCAGCCCTCCCTTTGCCAATCCACGCCCTCACATCTGCGTCCGATCCACCTCTCTCGTCGATGATGCTGCCAAGATATGTGAAGGTGTTAACGTCCTCCAAGGTATCTCCATCAAGCGTGATTCGGTTGGTGCATGTTGTGTTGCATCGGAGAATTTTGCTTTTTCCTTTATGTATGTTGAGACCTACTGCAGCAGAGGCTGCTGCTACACTGTTCGTCTTCTCTTGCATTTGTTGTTGAGTGTGCGATAGAAGAGCCAGGTCATTTGCGAAGTCCAGATCGTCCAGCTGCGTCCTAACTGTCCAGTTGATACCGTGCTTCCCTCCAGATGTTGACGTCTTCATAATCCAGTCGATGACCAGGAGAAAGAGAAAGGGTGAGAGTAGGCAACCTTGCCTGACACCGGTCTTCACCTCGAAAGAGTCTGTCAGCTGACCTCCGTGCACGATTTTGCAGTTGAATCCATCATAAGAATTCCGTATGATGTTGACTATTATCTCAGGCACACCGTAGTGTCGAAGAAGCCTCCACAGTGTTTTCCTATCCACGCTATCGAATGCTTTCTCGTAGTCGATGAAGTTGATGTAGAGTGGTGAATTCCATTCAATTGATTGCTCCACAATGATCCGTAATGTAGCAATTTGGTCAGTACACGATCGATCCTTACGAAATCCGGCCTGTTGATCTCGAAGTTGGGCGTCTACGAAGTCCTTCATTCTGTTTAATAATACTCTGTTGAAGACTTTGCCTGGTATTGAAAGAAGAGTGATGCCTCTGTAGTTTTCACACTTGCTGAGATCGCCTTTCTTTGGTATTTTGATGAGGTATCCTTCTTTCCAATCTGATGGTACTTGTTCCTCATCCCAAATCTTCTTGAAGAGAATGTGAAATATTTTCGCAGTTGCTTCCACATCTGCTTTCATTGCCTCTGTTGGAATGTTGTCTGGTCCTGCTACTTTGCCGCTCTTGATTTGTCTGATGGCTATACTGATCTCCTCAACCGTAGGTGCGCCAATATTAATTGGGAGGTCCTTGGATGCTGCTTCGATGTTGGGTGTGTTCAGTGGAGCTGGTCGATTCAATAGTTCCTTAAAGTGCTCTACCCACCTATTTCGCTGTTGTTCAGTGTTGCTGATTATTTTCCCTTCCTTGCTTTTCACTGGTCGTTCTGGTTTACGATAGTTCCCGGCGAGCTTCTTTGTTGTTTCGTACAATTGTCTCATGTTTCCTTCTCTTGCAGCCTTTTCCGCCGTCATTGCTAGATAATCCACATATTTTCGTTTGTCAGCTCTGATGCTCTTCTTCACTTCCCTGTTTGCTTCTGTATACTCGGCTTGCGCCTTAACTTTCTCTGCTCTTGTTCTGTTGACATTGATTGCTGCCTTCTTGTTCCTCCTTTCTTGAATTTTTTCAAGAGTACCAACAGAGATCCATTCCTTGTGATGGTACTTCTTATTACCCAGAACTTCGTGTCATGTTGAAGTGAATGCCTCCTTAATCCCTTT